TAATCTTTCTCGAATGCGGCACGTATCCTGCATCAGCCATGCATGAGAAGAAGCTCTCGATGGCCCGTGCTAGGCAGTACAACGCTATCTCTATTCGCCTGCTTTTCTTCTCAATGGCTAATGCAAGCCCAGCTGGGAACTGCACAAGAACGCAACCGCAACCTCTTTATATTTGGGAAAAACTGCAATTCCTATAGTTCCGAATTCTTTCGAGTTTTGAAAGAAAAAGGGATTTCAACTTGAATACCGTTCCGATGACCACCATTGGAATGTTGCACCTTTTGAATATCCTGAAGAGCAAGCACGTCCACATCCTGACATACAGTGGCAGCATCGGTCTCATGCATGTGAGAATTTCAACAAAATCCATGCCAGAGAGAAGCAACAATGAGGAAGGAGAATAAGTTCCCCCCCCCCCCCCGGGGCGGGGGGTTGGGGGGACAGAGCTATCAAAAAGCAAGTACATGAAATCATCCGATGTAATTTCCTTAATGTACTACTTTCGTTGCATCTTACAGTCTTATACATGAAACCGAGGTCTAGCAATCAATACGACATCTTGTGGATCAAATCTAAAGTGAGAGGTACAAGAAATTCTAACTACGTATGAGTCTGCTTCACCTTGTGTATACCAAAGATGTGAAAGAGTACAATACAACATCGATTATTTCTTCCATTAATTAAACATTTCATGCGAACTTGCAGAAGTTAAAATGTTCTAGCATATTGATTCACATTTGACATATCAGAAACATACTGTTTTAGAACTGTATGATACATCTGAGATAACACAACAGGAGAGAGGGTGATAGATAATTAGATGCTAACCAGGCAGTAGAGCAATACATAGACAGGAACAAACTTGATCTTGCAGTGCCAAACAGACTTTGGCTAATATTGTGTTAGGGCTGCATATAAATATGTTGACAATAAGCAATAATTAACCAAAAAGAATATAGTCTCAAATATTGCGTATATGTCATAATAAGCTCAGCTTGAAGCATAAGCCAAGGGATCTTTCTTTGGGGAAAAGAAAGGAGGAGTATTCAATTGGGAAAAATAATGAAGATATTATATTTTTCAAGGGCAAATTTGAGATGAAAGTAATTGTTGGGGAATAAATCATTAATCCACTCCTTTTGTTATTTTCAATGCAAACAAAGTACGGGAAGGGCCTGAACATGCTTTTTAGTCCACGCTAATGCATGAGATGAATGAAAAATTTTGAGTGGAAAAATAAGAAAATAGTATTTTGAGAGTGCTTGGACAAATATCAAATGGGAAAATCTGTTTTCCATCGGAGCCTCTTCATTATAATCAGAGCCAATGTGCCATCAACATTGTACTTGCCCCTCACAGAAGGTACTATCAGATAGAAAGGAAAATATGTTTCATGAAATCTTCACAAAAGAAAACGTCAATATTAGATTGCTTACTAAGTATGTATACTAATTATATCACCTTTTTAAAATCCTTGTCTGTGAACTAATAGTGCAGGGATCAGATAAACTGGCAGATAAACTGGTAATGCTCTTTTGTAGGCTTGAAGGAGAAAAGAAAGAACATGCTCACCACACGACTGATTCCCATGAACAATCTGCAAGATGTTTGAAAATGACAACTTATCAAGTTGATATAAATCACCTGTTTTTCACCATGATGTAAGCAGTTACATGATGTATAAATCCAACTTAATTGATTTAAACAGAAATTGTTGAGCATATGATTGTTGTTCAACAAAAATCATTCCCGAGTCTCAAAGCCGTACTAAAAAGTATCAAAAGAAAAACTGCACGACAAATTGTAGACCATTAATTTTGAACATAAAAAGGAAATAAAAGAGAAAATAAAACAAAAGACAAAAATGCATACAACTTTACCAAATAGAGTCCACGAGTATACGAACTTATAGACACCATTACGAAATGCATCATACATGAATTCTCAGATTAAACAAATGAATCAGCAATTATCACAAGAGTGAAATTTCAAATGGATCGAATCAAGAATAAGAGTTGATGCCAAAGTTATGACATCAAGGATTAACTAGATTTGCAGGACAAGGAGAAACGTTGACATTGTGACACTGATTGACATCTACATATCAAAAGTCTAAAAAAAAAATGCATATCCAACTTCCAAGATTTATAACTGTAATAGAACGACAGCTGTATTTCTTTTACTTTATATATTTCAATAGGAAATATTACCACACTGAAACATAATGAAAGAAGGAGGACAAAAATCATAAAACTTTTTCATACCGAGCAGGGGATTTTCATATCTGGATCAAGTTGCATCTCAACACCCATTGCCCTGTAGTGTTTCTCTATTGCTTCCAAATTAGTAAAAGGCAGGCCACTTGCTAACTCTTTCACACCTTGTAGGATAACAGGACCTTTTCCACCATGCTTATTGAGAAAGGACTTATATGAAGAAGGCAAACTCTCTTGCTTTAATATGTAAGAAGACCTAAAACAACATGTTAACCACTGCCCTTAACCGAACATACATTAATCAATATAAATAGAAAAAAAAAAAAGAGGGAGGAGGGAAGTGAAATATATACACTACCTAAAAACTACAGGGCATTGCCACAAATTCAAAAAGACAGGAACATTTATTAAAGGAGGACACAATGGAAAAGGTTGATTCATTAAGTACGCATAACCATGTTTAGGACGACAACGTACAATATCTGTGAAGAGGAGAGACACATAAGAAATATGTCACCGTGCTTCCATGTGAGAGGTTTACATACTCCCCCAAACCGTTCGCTCTTAATCCCACATCGTGATGCCAAGACAGCAGCACGCATAAGTATGTAAATAGCCAAGCTTGTATGTTGCGACTCTAAGCCAGTCAGAAGCATGGATGGGCCAGCAATCGCCCCTGCCAATAGAGCCCTCCATCTTGCTGTCCTGAACTAGAGTGATGGGAAAAGTACGAATAAGAAATACACAATTTCAAAACAAAACTTTTAAGTTTAAATATCGATAATTGGACAAAGATTGATCACACAGAATGAACAGAACATGCCTACGGTGACCTCCCAGAGCAACTATAATCTCATCCACAGACGCAAATGTTCCTGCAAAGCTTCCAAGAAAAAAGCCGTATCTCAGTGTTTCCTGTAAAGCCAGAACGATTGCTTCTCTGTTTGCTACCGCCGCCTCCTTCCTGTACCAAAAATGGAGAAACATAAACACCCGTTGTTTCGGACATCAAGTGAGAGAAAGGCGAACATAGTAGGTAACCGAATAATAGAAACTATTATTCAGGTGTATATCTCGAATGCGATGACATTTTACCTCGGGGAGTTTAGTGTCCCTCTTCGTCGCAATCGACCTAAGATGGAGAACAGAGCAAGACCACCCTTAAGACCAGCTCCTATCGTGAAGCCCTTGGCCGAAGCAAGAATAATTCTCCGCAGCTTATCCCAATCCTTCAAGGGAATCGAATCGAAACTTAACAAGGACGAAGAGCTCAATGACGACGGAGAAAGATCGGATCTTCTAGAACGCGAACACACATCGCTGGAGCCACTGTCGTTATAGCGTAAACAATTACTCTCACTGGAACAGCATGAGCAGCAGCCGTCAGCTTCGGAGAACCCATCACCAGACGGCGGCATATCGGCGGTTCACGCAAAGCACTGAGTAAAGTTGAATTTGCCCCCCGGAAGCAAAATGGCGTGGTGGGAAGTTTTCTCAGAGCAAGTGCGAAAAGAATACGAGATTTAAAATAATTAAAAAACACAAACAAAAAGAAATATAAAATATAATAGTGTCCCACACATACAATTGACACGTGGCTCAGAACGCGGTGTGCGCCTAAGGTGCGAACTGCATAGTGTAGTTTGACAAATACCCAAAATTCAACCTAGCGTCTCATGCCATTTCCTACCACCGCCTGAAACAACCGATTCAGAGGAATAGCAGCAAAGGATGCTGTGAGGGGCAAAGAGACAGACATCGTCTAGGAAAAGAGTCTTATTAGGGAATGGTCTTGTTGATTGAGTCAACCACCTGGCAAACTGATTCCTGCTTTGCCACTTCCATTGGAGCTTGATTGTCCAAGTGAATACCCACCATGGATGAGATGGTGAAGAGAGCAAGAGTGGAAAAATAGCGGAGACACGGTCTGATGGCTATTAAAAGAAAGAGAGGATAGGTGGATAAGCGCAACAAGAAGATGAGGAGGGAAACCGGGTGCTAGGATTTGGCTGCAAGTTCCAAGTGGGGTCATGTCCAAGCATGACAAGAGTTATGGGCGATGAGTGATGACTGTGGAGCTTTTCCGCTAGCTGGAATGGAAGCTTAAGTATAAAACGAAACACCCTGGTCAATTATGAGGTTACGCTGAATTGTGTACGGAGTGTGATTCCTTATTTTTTTCATAACCATCTTTCCAAATTCGGTTCTAATCATTTATTTATAATTATATTTAAAGTAAAAGGCTAAAACGCTAACGCCATATTTCTCATTGAAAAAAGCACCAAATCACAATTCGTTACGTAGACGCTACAAGCCTACAACGGCAGCAATATTCTGCCACCCGATATGCTTGACGTCGTTGGCCGCGTTTATAATGGAATAAGGCGGGTTCAGTCACTGAGCAACAGGCACAACGTTCATGGCGGGGGAAGAGGTGACGTGGCAAAATCCAAGTGGCTCTCTCAGCGTAGACGGCTCGGATTTATCCTCAAACCTTGCCAAAAGTCACTCGTCAGCCTGTTGCACCCCCGCTACTTTCATACACCGTCATGCAGCGGACAGAAATCGTCCGACTGACTTCATGCATGTTTCTGTAACTGCTAACTACAGAGACACGCATTACTTTGAGCCTAAGGCATAGCTTATAAATGCTGCCCCATATATTCTTTGGCGTCCATTTCTAAATCAAGAACTCTCGGACCCGGGCATTTGCTGAGCGAGACAGGAACGGTCGGGGAAGAGTGAGGCTAAGGTTTCGTTTCGGGTTTGGTACCGATATTAAAAATGCAGAAGCTAGGACTAACGAGCTCGAAGAGTCTCGACAAATTCAAATCGCTGTATGGTCCTGCATCGGGAACTGCCAAGGCTTCGTCGTTCTCTTCGCGTCCTTCCACGGATTCCATCTCATTGGGAAGTTTTGCGAATCTGAAGCTCACTGCAGGTCTTGATCGAAATTTAGCTATATTATCCTGAATCCTGATTTTCTCGGTCTTTCTTGTGGATGAAGATTTTATCTCGAGTTTCGATTTCAATTTGGTCTTGTTTCAACTATTTCCTCTTGAGCAGAGAAACTGGTGAAAGAGCAAGCTTCAGTGAAGACTGATCTGGAAATTGCGGTATAATATAATATTCTTTGTGCGTAATCCATTACGCAAAACGCACGCACGTCACGATTTCTGGTTTTTGTGGCTTCCTTTCACTACTCAGAGAAATGTTCCTTCTCACTGCTGCTGTGCAGAATACTAAACTAAAGAAGTCATTGGAGCATGTTCATGCTTTAGAAGAAAAACTTCGGCATGCTTTTAACGAAAATGCCAAACTCAAGGTCAAGCAGAAAGAAGATGAAAAACTGTGGAAAGGATTGGAGTCTAAGTTCTCGTCAACGAAGACACTGTGTGATCAACTTACCGAGACAATGCAGCAGCTCTCAGGTCTAGTTCAGGCTGGTAAGACTTTTTCTCGCTTTTCCATTTTACTTGCATTTGATGGCTTTATTTTAAAGCCATAGTTATCAATCATGGACTTTGAATCAGTGACCAGTCTATTCTTTCTGTAATGCTGTTATAGCTGAGAAAGATAAGGAGATATTGGAAGTTAAACTTTCTGCAAGTTCAGAAGCTCTTGATAGTTTAAATAAGCATATGGATGATCTATCTCTGAAGCTAGATTCTGCGGAGGAAACAATTAGAACTCGTAAGTTCCTCGTTGTTGACATTTTGTTTTATTTTTTAATTTTTAATCAGTTACTTTGAAATAAAGATGATTAATTGTTATATCTACGTAAGTGTAGGGTTGTTATTACCGCATTAAGTTTACTGGAGAGCTCTGAGTATTGAACTGAACATCAATATTATATGTATTTGTTTTGGATCTTTATTATAGGTAACAAGGAGATAGAAGAGCTCAAATTCGAGTCAGTAGAAAAGGACAAGGTTCATAGAGATGATCAGACTAGGTCTGCAAATCTCTTAAAGGAGAAAGGTGATTTAGCTTTTCGATATTGTAAACTTGACAAATTAAGTTGGCAAATGACAATTGGTAATAATTCTGCTGACTTGTCTTGAGTGGCCTATTCCAAGGCATGTTCGAGAGAATGATATGATTCAGTAGTTTGAGATTATGTAGGTTATAGAGTGCATTTTTTGCCTTTATCTTCACATCTTTAGTTCTGAAGAACACTACCAAGGTTTCTGCAATGGAGTTATCAAGTAACGTTATTTTGTTTGTTCATGTCGTGTATTAAGATTGGAAGGTTCATATATTTTTAATATTATATGTCATGTATCAGTTTTGACATCTACCCTCTGATGTGGTAAATGGATGGAGTAACTTGCAACTCATTATGATTTTTGTGTGAAACATGAATTTGCATGCAGATAATATGATCAAGAATAGAGATGAAACTTTAGCAGCTAGCAAAATGGCTTCAGAGAGTTTGAATTCAAAGTTGGGAGAGGTGCAACTTCAGTTAGAAGTCAAAGAAGATGAAATTACTCATCACATAACCGCTGAGGAAAAACTGAAAAAAGAAATGGGCGATCTTCAATTGTGTAATGCTGAGATTACTGAAAAACTCGACTTGTCACTTCAGGAATTCAAAAACCTTGATGAACTGGTTCAAGCCCTGGCTGGAAATGTGGTTGGATTAGACAAAGAAAGCTTGAACGTTTTGAGCAAGTTTAATGAACTAAGTTGTCTCTATGATTCTTGCTTCCATTTGGTCCTGCAGGAACGAGATGCCTTATCTAAGCATGCTCAAGCTCAATATGATGAGCTTCATAATAAATTCTTGAGCTTGAGATCAGAAAAAGATGCAATTCAGTTGATAAATCATGAATTAAACAATAAAGTGACTGAACTTCGGGAAGTTCTGGAAGCAACGGCAACCCGGCATGCAGATATCTGCCGATTAGATGCTGAAAGAATCCAGTGTCTGGAGTCAGAAGCTCAAACTTTAATCTTAAAGAAGGAAGAAGCTGAGCTATCGATTTCCAAATTAGAGGAGAGAGTTGAATTTTTCTCAGATAGCTCTAGATCATTAGAGACCCAGATGGCATGTCTGCTTAATCTTCCTTAATTAGTGGCAAGAAAAAATCTTCCTTAATTATTGTCTTTTATCATACCATGTCACGTTCCTTATCCAAGAATCTAATACCATGCAGCAAGGTTTATTGCTGAAGCTTTCAGCATTGGAAAATGAAAGCAAAGAAAGAAAATTCAGAGAGTTGCAGGAAGAAATATTGAGGAAATCAGAGGAAATAGACAGTTTGAAAAAGGAAGTTGTAAAACTTGAGCAGCATGCAGATTTTCTGGAGAAAAAAGTAGGCCAAGTTAATAATGTCTTAGAGGACAAAGAACAGCTCATTTTGCAGTACAAGGAGCAAGAAAAGAAGCTGGAAGATCAGATCTCTGAGGTCTTGGAACAAACATCTAGTACCCATTTCTTTTGTTCCTACAGGTTTTTCTGGACTTTAGTTTCTGACTTTCTGTTGGTCACTGCAGAATCAGTCATCATTGGCTGCTATTGAAAGTAAACTTATAGAAGCTAAGAAGCAATATGATCTAATGGTAGAGAGCAAGCAGTCAGAATTATCAAGGCATTTGAAAGAAATTTCTCAGAGAAATGATCAGGTGTGATTGATAATCAGTTACCTTCCATAAATCCTTTATATATTATGAATTGCGCTTCAGCTGTTTTCTAACAATCACAGCACTTAGCAGGCTATTAATGACATTAAGAGGAGGTATGAGTTGGAGAAGATGGAAATTGTCAACATGGAAAAAGAAAAGGTTTGATGCAACATATTTATGATGATGCCACATTTATCCACTCGAAACGTTCTTCATCATTTGAATCTTCAGGCTGATAAGGCGATTGCAGAAATAGAGGGAAGATGCGACAAAAAACTTGCAGATTGCAAAGAAGAATCAAGGCAACAGTTGGTGCGCATTCAGGAGGAACATGCTGCACTGGTATGCATAAAATAATGTAAAAAGAATGGAGAGTAATTTTAGCTGTCGACCATTATTATCATCAAAGTAGTAGTATGGCATCGGGCCTTGCATTCAATGGGATTGTATATGGTCTGATTTTTCTTCAACTGTTTCAGGCACCGTTACAATTTCATAATCCGTGCTGCTTTTACAAATTCATTTTCTTTGGGATAAGTAATTAATCAGCCACTTATATTCTAAATCTGTGCAAGCCATTAATCTCCTGCGATGATTTAATTCAGAACATGGTAGACACTAATTCTTTGGCGGCTATTCACCTCTTGTAAGATTATCATCGCATCAGTAATCTTCCTTGGCAAGTGTATTCAAAATTAAGTTGAAAAATCGAGCATCCTGATGAAATAGTTTCCTGCTCCACATGCAGGTTAGTCAAATACAGCAGGAGCACAACAAGAAACAACTAGATCTTCTAGCTGAACACAATGAGAAACTTAAACATGTCCAACTGCAAGCTGAAAATGAACTGAGAGAGGTTCGTTAATATATTACTATATGTATAGGACTACGCTATGACTTCTGGATGACATTTATTTCACCTGACATGAAGTTTATTTTCTATAGAAAACATTGTTCCTGAGGAATGAGCATGAAGCTCAGATGAAATCGTTGAGGTGTGAACTTGAAGATGAGTGTCAGAAGCTGCAAGAAGAGTTGCATATCCAAAAATCAAAAGTATGCATTACCTGAGCAATTAAAATAATCTTTTTCTTTTTTGCACTATGTCTAAATTTGTCCAAAATATGGCAGGAAGATAGGCAAAGGGCTTTATTGCAATTGCAGTGGAAAGTGATGAGTGACAAACCAAAAGAGGACCAAGAAGTGAATTCAAAACAGGTTGGCTTGTCTTACCAGAACTTATGTGCATCTGTCTTCCTATCTCGTCTATGTTGTGTAGATTTTTCACGAGATAAAAAATATTTTGTCTTTCAGATTGCTTATGTATCCTGTAAGACTTAATATTGCTTCCGTTTTAGTCCCAAGCTATTATATTATATCAATCTAACATGATGTGGAAGGATAACAAAATATGATCTTGTAGCTCAGATTATCAAAACCAGCTTGCAATGCAACTTAATCATGCAATGTTTACTGCTTTTGTGCTTATAGAATTTATATTAATTGATTAAATTGGACTACGATATGTACATAAAGCTAACTTGAAATCCTTGTCATTTGTGTAAGTAGGATAACACTTAGTTATATTGTGATAGGTTTACCCTGCTTCCTCAATTAAGAGGAGGAGCTCTCGTGGTGGCCAACATAGTCAGCAAGCATTAGTAAGAATGGAGTCAGAAGAAAAAAGGAGTTTACTTATTTCTTAACTTATGACATGTAAATATTATGTTGACTCATCACCTACTTTGTTTTGTATTTCTGTACTTTTGACAGGACCCTC